TTTCGCAATTTTATTTTATTATTTTTTAAATTAAATTGTTAATAAAAAATATGGTACAAAAACTTGTCAAAAATACAATCCTAATAAAAATAAAAAAAAAACAACATTGACAAACAAAAATAAATCTCCAACCTGCATTCCAGGGTAATCTACCAGTCGATCAATATTTTGCTTGCTAGCTTTAAAACGTTTCTTATGCAAATTGCACCCCCACCCCCAACCCCCCCACACACACACACTCAAATCCATAATGCTGGCGAGCAATTTGTTTCTGCCCCACAAGCCCCGTGGCACATGGCTCTCTGATGCCTCCTTTTGCATAGATTTTCAATTTTAGCCTCCACACATTTCCGCTTCTGCAGTTTCCCCCCACCTTTTGGCCACTTTATAATTCAGTAAGTTGGCAATTTTCTTCGCCCCCGAATTTATCCCTGGACATAATGCCTTTTCGGTTGGTCAGAAATTGAACTCATTTGCATATAAGCGTGTAATATATTGTCCCTGCCCCTGCCCCAAGCCTGCCCCATGCCTGGCAGAAGGGGGTAGCGCCTGTCGCCTAATGGTCGTCCTGGCAGCCAATCAAGCCATGACATTTATCAAAAAAAAAAAAAAACCCCAAGAAAAATGAGCGGAAAAGTGGAAATCTGTAGAATAAAACTAGCCCAAGGAGCGAGGGAAGTGGCTGCTGGCTGCCATTTGAATGTCCAAATGAGTTTTGTGCCAAGTTCAGCAATTTTTACATTTTCAATTGCCTTCTTTTCATAATTTCCGTGTCATTTTTCTCGACTTTTGGGGGGGGGGGGGATCAGAAGCAGAAGCCATGGACTCTCGGCTTGGAATGCTGGAACGATGACAAACAAAAGCATCCCAAGTTGCAACAGCATTCCAGGAGGACCTCCGCTGAAGCATTGCCTCTGCTGCTGACAGAACCGCAGTCCATCGTTTCTTTGGTGGTCGTGGTCGGGGCGTGTCTGGAACACAGGAGGCAGACACACGCCCACAACGCATGCGCAACAAGCTAATCAAGAGTCCTGTATCCTGTGTGGAGTGGCCATCAAATGCAGCAGCTCCTTCTTCTGCGATGCCCCCTCCTCCGTTGCGCCTGCCTGATTTTCAATTTCAATTTAGACGATAAATGGGCATGGCTCGCTGGCTGAATGCCTCAGTGGCTCATCTCTCTCTCTCTATCTCTCTCTTCCTGAAATGTCAGCTCGAATCTCTCTCCCGTTCTCGTCCTCGTCCTTGTCGTGCCTGGCATCCCCACGCAATGATGAAGCAGCCTGCATGCATGCAAAAAACCCTCAGCCCTATCCCCAGCTCGTTTATCATGGACGCATATTGCTGACCGCAGCATCCAGCGAAATTTATGCTTAGACAGAAGACCCCCCCACCGCCCCCCACTGCCCACCACTCTCCTGCTCTCCTTCTGTGGCAATGGTCTGTCCCGTCCGTTCTGTTCAATCTCTGATTTCTTTCCTAGAGACGCTCTTGGGTAGTGCTGGACACTTGGGAATAGCAATGCACTAGGAGTCATCCGGGGAAACCAATGGCCTTTATTTCTTGGCGAAAGTAATGGAAAATGCTACGAGAAGCAGCAGAAGCTAGTGGAAATCATGGAAATTTGTTTTTAAAAAAAATAGTACCCAAAAAAATTAATTAAAAATAAAGAAAATTATTTAAATTTAAAAAATATATATGTATGTACATAAATATATTTTTTTGAAATTTATTTTTATTATAATTTTTTTATATTTTTAATATCATAATAATAATATTTTTTCATTATTTTTTTTAATATTTAATATTTTTTTGGTATATTTTTATTTATAACCATTTTATTATGTTTTCATGATTATTATCATTATCATCATGATTTTTACTATTTTTAAATATTATTATTTTTTAATTTTTTTTAACTTTTGTATTTATATTTTTTTTATATTTTTATTGATTTCTTTATTTCATTATTTTTTGATGAATATTATCATCATGTTGTTAATTTTTTTTAAACTTATAAAATAAATAAATGGTTAAAAAAAAATGAAAACATAGCTACATATGTATATATAAACATTGTTTTTTTTTTAATATAAAATTATATTTATAGCTTGTTCTGAAGTTCTTTATTTTATTTATTTTTTTCATTTCATTTTTTTGTGCCTACAATCTTTTTTTTTACTCTGCTGTCTATGAAGTAATTTTCCAAAAACATTTCCAGGAGATTTAGATTATTTTTCTTAAATTAAGAATTAAAAATAGTTCCTTAAAATTGCCCATACCTGACCTTTACGGAATTCAAATGAAACAGGAATAATTGGAGCTATAGAAAATGGATATTCCATAGAATCAATCAATCGATATAGCTCTTATGGCACCTTTTTTAGATTAAAGGTAACAAGATTCTACTATCCATAATTGTTTTCCATTAAATTCGCTTACTTTTTTATGCTTTTTCCTTTGTTTTCCTACAAATTCTCGTACTGTTAGGGTATCTGAACCTTCTGTATGGCTCAAACTCGAAATGAGACTCCGTTGTGTCCATTTTTGGAAATTCTGTTTCTGTTTTTTTTTTGCTGCTCTTTTTTTTCTTTTTGCATTCTGCACCGCACTGCTCCGCTGCATGTCATGTCAGCGTTGTCATTGTTGTCAGTGTCATCACAGCAGCAGTAGCATCTGGAAACTCTGGTACAGATCCCTACTGCTGATGCTCCTACGGCCTGCCGCTGCCTGCTGCTGTTCCTGGCGGTGGCTTTGCGGTCGTCCTCGTCCTCGTCGTCGTCGTTCTGCTTGTCATTAGACTTATGTCATTGTTCACCCAAGTGCGCCAGCGATGATGAGAGAACTAGGATGCTATTGTACCATATTTACTGCTCGGCTTGCAACATGTGCAACAGCAGAACCAGCCACGCCCACGCCAGACTCAGTCGCGGAGGGCTCTCTGTGCGATTCTGTGGCTGTGGCCATGGCTATGTGGATGTCGCTTTCCGTTCGCATTTTACGTGCGCGTATCTAAACTGACATTCCAATTATTCTTATCGCATCAAGGAGTGGGAGTAGGGGGGCAGGTGGCAGGAGGCAGGAGGGCCATGCCATACCAATGTCACCCATGCCTCATGCCACTCATACTCGCAACGAAACGAAACGAAATGAGACCCCAACCAACCCCATTCTTGGGTTACAAATGGCATCCGAGTCTTTTTCAGGGTTCCACTAAGTCACTCATTCCGCGAGTCAGTAAGTCATTCATTCCATCAGTCTGTAAGTCATTCTATAAGTCGCTCATTCCATCATTCTGTAGGTCATTCATTCATTCGCTCGTTCGCTAAGACTCCTCCTCCATCAGTCCCCTTCAGAAAGGGACTTCATTTCATGGCATTTCTTGTGGCATCCTTCATATTTCTCTCTCTCTCTCTCTCTCTCTCTCTCTCTCTCTTTCTGTCCCTCCCGCATTATGGAACTATTTAACTCGTTGGGCCACGTTGGACAACAGCTTTGGGGCAGTGGTGGCCAACGAGAATCGGACTGATTTATGTCCACCCCTTGTCTCTTCCGCATTCTGTGACAAGGCTTATGAGAGCCTGGATGGATCTCTGTGGGAGAGACAATGTCTTTGACATTGAAAATGGTGGGGGCAATTATGCCATCAAATGGACAATGACGATCCACGAGAGGGTTACTCGAAGGAAAGCTTGGAATTCTCTCTATATAGGGGATCGGGGTCACCAAAAATTTCAGTTTTCTTTGCGCCAGCAAAAGAAAAGTATTATTGGGGGGAAAACCCAAAGAAAACCTTGGAACTCTATTTCTCGATTGGACGGCCAAGCTTTTGATAACGATTATCGGGGATCGGGGTCACCAAAAGCATTTTTTTTTTTCTTTTAAAAATTCCCTTGCCCTCGCCTTCTCGCTTTTTGCTGTATTGATTACTTTCCCCATTAAAATCAGCCTGCCCTTTGATCTCTCCTTCGGGTGGCGCCTCCCGAAACACGCAGCGGCAGTGGCAGTGGCAGTGACAGTGGCTAAGCTTCAGACTTTAATCCGACCAAATATTTTGCCAGGGCCTTGACATTTTATTGATTGCCATTGCCAGCCGTTGAGTTGTACATTAATTTCAGCCAAAAAGCTTCTGGGGGGATGGCGAATGGGGGGGCAAAAACAGGAAATGGAAATGGGAACAAAAATGAAATAAATTTATTACGCAATCGAAATGGGTTCGTTCGTGTTTTGTCAATGGTGGGTAGGGGCTCTCTCTTTCGATTTGCTCTGGGAAACTTTCGCCAACTTTCTCCGGGTAGAGCCCCTAAATTGTCTGTCTCCAGCACTGGTTTTTTTCTTTTCTGCAGAAAAGTCATTTAAATGGTATTTACCTTCGGTGGCCCTGCACCCCACCCAAAGAATTATTGGAAGCCAACTTGAAGTCCGGAATGCTCTATGCATTTCAATTGCTGAATGAAATTCACATTTCACATGGAATGCACACACACACACACACACACACACACACACATCCTGTAGTAAACTTTCCGACCGAGGCAGGATATCGCTTCATCGGAGAACAAGCCAGGACACCGTTTTTTTTTCCATACCACCACCTCCTGCACAAACGTACTACTCAAATTCCAACAAGCATTGTGCCCTATGTCCTTCCCTGTCAACCTTCAACCTTCGCCGTGAATGTGCAGGCGGTGAGGGGGGAGGGGGGCGTGGCGGCTATGCCTTTTTTCTGCTCAATTTGCAATTTGCAATGCGCTGAAAATGCTCTTGCAATAATCAAAGCACGCTTACGGCTTGTTATTTTAAATTTTCAGTTTATATAAAATAGAGACAGAGATGAAAAGAGATGATATAAAACAATTTCTGTACAGACTACGGGTCGCGACAGCGACAGCGACAGCGAAATTGTTTTTACGTGACGCGAATTTCGAACAAGAATACGGCGATGGTTTCTGGGGTACAGCAGCACCGTTCCACAAATATCCTAGAGATGAGAGAGAACTTACCTGAAAGCACCCACATTATGCCCCAATACAGGGCCCAATTCATTGACATCTTTGATCTATATAGTGCTTATATTCTTCTGCTGCAACTTCAGGAACTTAATTTTTTATTCAGTTGATGCCTGAAAAAAAAAGGAGAGAGAAGAAGAATTTAATATAAGAAAGGCTGGGGATTTTAATCATAAAACTTATAGAGGAATGGCGTAATGGGTAACTAGTCCTTGGAACGATCCTTTAAGTACAATTTTAAGTCTTAAATTTCTTCGATTAAAGGCTTTTCGAGGTACACTTTTAAAGAAGGCATATCTGAGCCTTCGCCCTCGTCTAAATTTTATTTCTAGCCAAAAATAAATCTTTTTCGTACAAAGGTCCTTGCTAAAATTTTCTATATCATATTGGTATGATTTAAAAAAATTTCAAAAATTAAAACAATTTTTTGTCAACAAAAACCAAATATTTTCCAAATTCCTCATAAATGCGGCAGTCAATATATTTTTTTCGAACAAAGGTCCATGCCCACGTTTTTTATATTATATTGGTATTATTTAAACAATTTTCAACAATTAAAATAAAATTATTACAACTAAATATTTGCCAATTTCCTCCTAAGATTTTATTGATATTTGCGGCAATCAATAAATCAATTTCGTACAAAGGTCCATGCTAACATTTTTTATATCATATTCGAAATATTTGAAAAATTTTCAACAATTAAAATTAAATTATTAAAACAATTTTTTGTCAAAAGCTAAATATTTTTCAAATTTAAATAAATTTTCCAAAAAGGTCCATGCCAACGTTTTTTATATCATATTCGAAATACTTGAAAAATTTTCAACCATTAAAATTAAATTTCCTCCTAAGATTTTATTGATATTTGCGGCAATCAATTTCTATAATTATTAAAAATCTTTTTAAATATTTTAAAAGGTTTCAAAAATTAAATTAAATTATGACGACGATTTTTTGAAATTTTGTCCAATTTCCTCCTATGATTTAGGCAACGTCTTCTTCGAGGCACAAGTTTTCTGTGAAACCACTGCAGAATTTGTTAGCATGAATAATTTAATCAATTATTTTTACCGCCGATATCACAACGGGTTTTTCCTCTTCTTTGATTAGTTTTGGTTTTTGCTTGAATTTAATTTTAGAAGGCTTTATGCGGCTCTCTGTTATCCGATTGCAATTAAAGGTGAAAGCCAAAGAGCCATAACCATTTGGTGGCGGAAACAGCAATTCAAAAAAAAAGAAAAAGAAGCAAAACAAACTGTCGACAAACACAACTGAAAAATGGACAAACAGAACTGCAAGCCAACAAACAAACAACAGAAAACCGCATACAAAAGTCCGGAGTCCGCAGTCCGGACTCTGGAGTTGCAACATAAAAATCCACTAAGGCAAATTGGTTTTGTTAACCAGCACAATGGACACATTAACAGGACCACAGGAGCCGAACACGGGACGGGACAGGACGTGCACAGATGTCCTGGCCACTATAGGGCTTCCCCATGGGACATCGTGGGGCGGGGGGAGGGGCCATGCAAAAATTACAATTTTCGTTCAAAAATCAAAAAAAAATTACAGCGCATTGCGCGAAATTGTTTTCATGAAAATGTAGTACATTTTCCATGTCCGAAAAAGGTACGCCCAGGGGCGGAAAAATTATGAACTCCTGGTGGACGGGGGGCGGGGAGGGGCTGGGGTTTGGGTTTGGGGCATTCATTGGCAGGCAGATTTTCCACAAGTTTTTTGCTCATTACACGACTTGATTTCATTTAGTTTGAATCGGTGTGGAAAAACGAGCGGAAAAACGAGCGCTGGGAAAAGGCAAGAAGGAAAGCCCGTAAATTAGATGAGATAATAAGCCAGGGGAAGCCACTGTGTTGCCTCAAAGGATATACAGCAGCAGGAGCAGGAGCAGCAGCAGCAGCAGCAGGAGCAGATCCTGTCCATCTCCAGGCCTGCATCGTTTGGCCTTCTTAATTAGGCGCAAAAAAGCAAACTGCAAAATGCAAATGAAAAGGCAGCAGCAGACCATTGCAACAACCAGTGGCAGCATCGCATCCAGGCAGGCAGGCATCCAGGCAGGCAGGCAGGCAGGCAGCATAGTTAAGGACAGAAGGAGCCACGAACAACAGCTGTCAAAGGCAAACATTTTTGGGGTCAAATCAAATCCGAATAAAACGACAAGTACAAATGCAGCAGAAGCTCTGCAATTACCCTTAAGACCTTAATGCCACACACACACACAGACACACACACACAAGATAGCTTTGGACTATTTTTAGGGATTATTCTTCAAGGCAATCAATGGTTTGGATTGGATTGGTGGCTTGCGGACAGTGGATCAAGTGCTAAGCGAGCTAAGAGAGCCGTGTGTAGGGAGAGTGAGAAAAGAGAGAGAGAGAAACGCACAGGCAGAGAGCGTCGGCTGCAGGCCGATCTGCCAGCGTTCGCATAACGAATCGTGTGACAGTCGTACGAGCGGTAACAGTGCGCTGTAACAGTGCGGTGGAACAGAGCAATCTAACAGTGCGCTTTAACAGAACGCTGTAGCGGAGCAATCTAACAGAGCGCTTGAACAGAACGATCTAACAGTGCGCCGTAACAATGCGCTTTAAAAATGCGCTTTAACAGTGCGCTCTAACAGTGGGCTGTAGCAGTTCTCTGTAACAGAGCGCTCGAACAGAACGATCTAACAGTTCTCTGTAACACTTCGCTAGAACGGTGCGCCGTAACAGTGCTCTTTAAAAGTGCGCTTTAACAGTACGCTCTAACAGTGCTCTGTAACAGTTCGCTCTAACGTTTCGCTCTTACAGCTCGCTGTAGCACTGCCTTGACACCTGTCTGTTAACAGTGCGCGGTGGCCGGTAACGTTAACAGCCTGTTAACCTGGAGTGTTAGCAGCGCTGTGGCTCTGTTCGCATTTCCCATCCTTGAAATACCTTTCGACTCTTTCTGTTGGCCATCTCCAAGCCCTTCTCCCATAATTCAATCAACTTTAAACCCAATTTATGGCCGATCGAAGTGGCCTAAACCCCCCCACCCCCCGCTCAGGCCTGTCAGCGCTATGTTTTTCAAATGCCCAATGCCCGAAGGTCGAATCAGCGAGGGGCTGGCTGCGGCGAGGGTTGCTTTCATTTAATCAAAGCTAATTGAGTGCGTTTTTCTTTCTTTCCACTTTTTTTTTGTTTGCTTTTTTTTTGTGGGCCAATTGGCGTTAACTTTACTACCGCTTTGACAGCAGGGGTGGCAGGGGTGGCAGGGGTGGCAGGGGTGACCACAAAAATGTTGCACGCGAATCTACCTAAAAGTGTTCTCTGTGTATTTGCCGCATTTGCCCCGCTGAATGGCAAACTTTTCAACATTTACGCTTCGTTGCCTTTCACTTTCACTTTCACTTTTCCCGTTCGTTTCTTTTTGTTTTTTTTTTTTTGTGGGTGAGAACATTGAAATTAGATTAAAATGTTCAGGCGTAAACAAAATGGCTGCCATTTGGGGGTGCAGGGCGGATGTGGAATCAATTCGAATTTCATTAAAACAATATCCAGCGGTGCTCCACTTGAAGGGAATACCCTAACCGAGGGAGGGTTTCTGTGGGAGGCCAAGGACCCACTGGAATCCCTGGAAGGCTTGCCCTTGGAGCACCCAATAATATGGCTTCCCTGAGACCCAAAAGACTTTTATTTGATTTTTGAAACATTTCTTTCATACAAATTACAGGGTATTGCCGGGTATGGCTCTTGAGTTCCGAAACATTCGCCAGTCGCCGCGTGGGGGATTATCGTGGGGGGGGGGAGGGTTGGGGTGGCAACGCTGTCAAATAATTGTGCCAGTACTTTGTTTTTGAATGGCAAATGAATAATCTACGAGTATGCTTTGACTTTGACAGCTCTTCGACCTTGGCGGAGTCCTTGCTGCAGGGGCAGGACACAGAGCCACTAATTATGCTCGAGGGCGTGTGAATGAACTCTGTACAAGGGGAGGGGGACCGTCTCTGGCTCTGGGTCGACGGGTCCTTCATTTATCATGCGATTCCCAGGGGAGTGCTCAGAGGCAATGAAATTAAAAGCCCGAATTGTTATTCGTTTCCTCCCCCCTCTCTCCCCCCCACTCCCCTCTCTGTAGTGCCGCCTGCACTCTCGAATGTCCTGCATTGATTGGCATCCTGCGACTTTCATGTGAATTATGACGAGAGGTCCTGGCGCTTAATTGGCTTTTAAGGAGCATTATTTTCCATTAGAAGAAAGGCCACAAAATTTGACATTTTTGTTGGTTGGAATGTGGCATGCAGCAGGGGCAGGATACCACCTAAATATCGAGTTACATCCTTAAAAGTGAGTTTCCTCAACGAAAAAAGGTGCGGGGAAAACCAAGGGAGGGGGGGGGGGGGGGGGGGCGAAAGGGATATTAAGAAAACATTAAAATCACATTTTTAGTAGATTACGAAAGAAGGTGGAGGTGTTGCCCCGACGCGTGGCACGTGCCGCCAAATCCGTTCTTGAGATACACATTTTTTTGGCAATCGAACAAATCAATCAAATAAAGACGTTCTTGCCACATGCAACACAGGCCAACTTTCCGACGTTGCAGAAACTTAATTGAAATCAATACAAAATGCAATTTAATTCGCTCGAAAAATAAGAAAAAAAAAAACATGGCCACCACATGCATTGGCATACTTTGAGGCGCCACCAGTTTATGATTATACCGCCAGCGGCAGCGGCAGCGGCAGCGGCAGCGGCAGCACTCGAGGAAGTTGTAAAGTGGGTTACAGAAAAAGCAAGGCCAAAAGAAAAGCAAAAGAAAATTGAGAGGGAAAAACTACACAGCCAACTATGTGGCAGAGCAGGGACTCGAACGGTTGGATGCCCCTTCCTTGTGGGGCAGTGGCTGCCACCCAGAGCCCGGGTGGCTCCAGATGGCACCCTTTTTGGTAGGGGATTTGAGGACCCAACGATTTCCCCTGGAAAATTGCGAGTGCGGGCATGCCCCCCGCCACTTTTCCAGGGTATGATAGAGCCACAAAACATTTTATTGGATCGAGTGGCGGGAGGGGAGTCCCCGTCGCCGTCCCTGTGCTTCCATCCTTCGATTTCTCTGGCTCAAAGCAAGTCTTTCT